CCCTTTGGGGGTCGATCAGCCCATTCACAGAGGTCGCCCAATTGATAACAGTAGTACAATTATAGTTATGAAGTATCAACGAAAATACTTTTATGGCAGGGGCTACCACAGCACGAGGAACTGTATTAAAGGGTCACAGCATTAGGAAGGTTGAGAACCACTGTGGGAGGTTTTTAGTGGAGAGATAATTATGATAGTCATCACTATAGAGACAGTATTTACAGTCTTTACAACCATTGATTTCAATTTTAAGCATTGTTTTTAAAATTAGGTTGTTTATAGTTAGAAGTTTCACTGACACAATTCACATACATACATTTCAATTCTTAAATCATAGTCATAAAGATTGAACTATTGAAAGATACAATATCTGTTTAACTCCCAATAAAATGGTATTAAAAAGAACAAAAAGTTGTGTAACCATCAATAAAATCTATCCCAAGACCATTCTTCTTCCTAGAAGTTGTCATTCATTGCTAGCTCTGCAGTGGAATGTTTATGCTCACGTTTGATACCCTAAAAGTATATGTCTTCATAGGAGTCTTAAAAATCTTAATTAATAAATAAAATATCCAGTTCATCAATGTCCCTCTCCCCAGAAGAAGTTGCCAAACTTGTCATTATCTTTGCTACATGTCTGTGTATCATAAAATGTATTAGTACTTCCTCTCCATTGGTACTTCTTCCATCTCTCTTTTCTGCTTGCCCCCATCTTTCCTTCTGGTTCATTACACTGGTAATGTATACCAATGCATAGCAATGCTACACTTGTGGCACGTCAAGGGACTTGTGGATTTACTATGATATGTAAAGACAGTGAACATTCCTGTCTCACTGTCTATAAAACCATTGGGAGGTTTTCCAGATACTTCTTTTAAATTCATATTCCAAAATATCAACATTTGAAGGTCTACTAGTAAAGCCACATCCAAGCAAAACTCATGCAAAAATTCTCAATGCTCAAAGTATCATTGAGTTATATAAGTATATGCAATATATATATATATATATATGTATGTATATATATACACACACAAAAAAAATATATGGAGGTTTCAAAAGCAAGTAGAAAAAATGAATTAAAAATCCTGGAAGTATTCCATGAACATTTGAATCCTCCTGGAAAACACACATATACACACATATGCCCCTGAGGTTAACTAAAACAATATTTCAACCAGGGTTTCAGTTCATATAAACACAGATTTTTTCCAAACAAAGTAGGTTCAAATATGTGTCAGTAATCAGTTGTATCAATAATACAACTTTGTTAGTCTCATAAAGGTGTTTTCAAAACCAAGGATGAACAATCTGGAGGAGAAAACAACGGGACTGACAGTTCC